ACTATTTTTCAAATTATAGTTGAGCTGTACTCCCTTTCGATTAAATTGAACGCTCGATCGTGAACAAATGAAATTTCTTATTCTTTGGTTACTCATAAGCTCAATAGTGACAGCCAAAATTTTGGCGTTCACTATTGAAGTCAATTTTATTCCGCACAATTTTTTTGAACTGATAATGGAGCTGGTTTCCGAACCACTTTCGATGAAGATATGTCGAATTAATATGGCGTTTCCTAAACTTTCAAATTTTCATTAGATGAAACTTCGTTTCGTCGGGAATAAAAATGTGGTGTCTTGATAGATTTAAGATAAGAAGCCGTCCGTGGGCAGTCAGAGCGGGAGCATCGAACGCCTCATATTTTCGGTAATTGTTAATCCGTATGATTACAATAAAACAATAATTTCGCAAAAATTGTTCCTACTTTAGTTCAAGAAGTGTAAATCATTAATAAAACTAAGTTACAGGGCGTAAAGAAGTGTCGTGCTTTCATAGTTTTATGACAACGAGCGGTTCTAGGGCCAAAGTATGAGCGTCGAAACTTCAAAAATCAGTTATTGTCATTCTAATAATTGGCAATATTATGATATTGATTATAACAGAAGAATAATTTTGTTAAGATTTTACTAACTGTAGGTCAACAACTGTGAACCATTATTATAACTGAGTTTCAAGGCGGAAAGAAGTGTGGTGTTTTGATAGTTTTAAGACAACGAGCTGTTCTAGAGCCCAGAGCGGGCGTGTCGAACACCTCTGCTCCCTAATAGGAACAACGTCTGTCCGCTCGCTTCAGCGTCAAGCCTGGCCACGTCAAACATGGTCGCTGTGCGTCGTCTATCCTACAGGACTTGTCTACAACTCAGCGACGGTTGACGCACGTATTTGGGCATTTAAAATATAAAAAACGATTATTTTGTATTCTGGGTATCAGTAATAATTAGCGTTGGGAGAGATTTACAAAGGGCACAAAAGCGCACGTATATGGAATTGGATTGTGGTGATCCAAATTTATTTCGTTCATTATGGCTCGCACACTCGATTCGAATTTAATTCCTAATTAGGTTTCACTTGAATCAAAGAGTTTTTTATGTCAATGATTATGAATACAAATATCATTGAAAAAACGGCGCACCTATTGAAAAAATTGTTGAAAATTAGCCCCAAGACAGCAAGTGAACAACCAAATGGGTAATCTGCACGAATTATGTCGTGCAGTCTTTAGAAAGCGAAAGTATTTATATCATAATGGTGTTATTCAACATAGTAACAAAAATAATGACAGGATGGATAGTTCCTTATATTTCCCTAGTAGCATGAACGAAAAAAAAAAACGGGTAACGGAAAGGTTGAATAATCTAAAAAGTAATAACAGAGAAAGTGCCAACATTTCCATAAGGAAATTCTAGCTTAGTCTGCCTATTATCATAGCCAGACAAAGTTTTCTTATGCGTTTTCTAAATTTACTGCCCGCATGAGTAGCAGGGAGAGAGAACCTAATTTTTTCACAGGAGAGCCCGTATCCTCAGCGGCAGTTTGTACATATTTGCACTTGTTAATAAAGACACATTCATCAATCAACAAAACTCGTAAATCTAATTCAAACTGAATACAATTTTTTATGTCGTATTTATCCAACTAATAGCGATTATTAATTAAATTCTAGATTATTTTACAGCAAAAATACTAAAGAGGAAACTTGTAATATAGGCAATCCTACAATATAACGAATTTATGCCCACATAATTGTTTCAACATTGGTTGAATGAAGGTGGATCTTCGATAGTTTTACCTATGTTGTCAGCAAAACTAAGAGAGCCTTACCATTTTTGGGGATTTGATAGCCTTGCTAATTGCTATTTTTTTAAAGCTTTATTGAGTTGGAACAACCTTCTGGCTTCGACATTGATATAAATTTATAAATGCATCTGTGGCTCCCGTCTCATTGGTCGCTCGGTTTTCCCTGAGCTCGCGGTAAGCAGTACAGTTAATTACTTCATTTATTGCGTTCAATTGTCATTCAGGCCAATGATCGGACCAAATTTCTTGAGAAAATTAAACCACCGTCATTGCTTAACATTTCAATTCAAGGGTTGTCAACCCAATGAAAAAAAAATTGCCAAAATCGTTGTAAGGTTAATTCAAGAAGTTCTTGTTCAGTACTAGAAAACATTTTAACCTATTAAGACGAAAGCTATTCACAATTTTAATCTATTTTGCGTTTCACGTTTCTTCCTAGTCATTTGTGACTCATTGATGGAATTCTTAAAAGCAAACGTACATGAAACTTGGCCTTCGTTATATAAGGAATTTGTGTAGTTGTTCCCTCTTCAAGCCTCAATCATCTTGCGTTGGGTTGTGATGAATGAGATTTTTTCTTTGGCATTGATATCGCTAATTAATTTATATTACCTGAATGTTTAATTGCGCGTTCCGCGTGAAACCAATGCAGTTTATTGTAGATTTACGTAATTTATTGCCGTGACCTCGCACATTACGTTGCGTCTCTACATAATACATAATATGACGTCTGTTCTATTTATAAATTTTGCAAGTATTACCACATAATTTAAATGTTAAAAATCGCCTTGCTTGGCGATTGAACTTTTTAATTAGTTTCATTGTTCTCTTATTCTCAAAGTTAGCTCGAATTGCGGGGCATTATCATCTTTGAAAAAAAAAGATAAATTTCGTAGCCCGAAGGTAAAACGACTATGCCCAATGATCCTGTATCACTCGTTAAAGCGAGCAAATTGCATCATCTTAGTTTGACTAAATTTCAAGCTGAAGTCGGTGCACCGATGCTACAATTATTTGGGTTATGACATAGGAAAAATTAAATACAAGAGACATCATGATCATTGAACTAGATTTTTTCCATGTTACGGAACGCTTAGAGCTCCGTAACAGAGGTAACCCTAAGAAGGTAAGAGGTAACCCTAAGAAGGTAAGAGGTAACCCTACGAAGGTAAGAGGTAACCAACGAAGGTAAGAGGTAACCCTAAGAAGGTAAGAGGTAACCCTAAGCAGGTAAGAGGTAACCCTAAGAAGGTAAGAGGTAACCCTACGAAGGTAAGAGGTAACCCTACGAAGGTAAGAGGTAACCAACGAAGGTAAGAGGTAACCCTAAGAAGGTAAGAGGTAACCCTAAGCAGGTAAGAGGTAACCCTAAGCAGGTAAGAGGTAACCCTAAGCAAGTAAGAGGTAACCCTAAGCAGGTAGGAGGTAACCTTAAGCAGGTAAGAGGTAACCCTAAGAAGGTAAGAGACAACCCTAAGAAGGTAGGAGGTAACCTTAACAAGTATTCTTCATGCGCAAAGAATGTCATCAGCCTCCTTATTCATTCCTTTTCTGACCCTTTCATTGTTTCACTGTAAAACAACGTCTGGCGATGGTCTTCATTTATTCCTTTCCTTGGTCTATTTTTATGTAGATTGTGCAAGTTTCTCAACTGTAATAAGCGGTGCAATGCTAACCTTTATTGCAGGTTTCACTTTATTACATGTTCACTTATTGTCTTTTCTCACTAATGTGTGAAGTCGCTTTTACTGTGATCTTACATCGGCTTTCTTTGACCTTTGTTATCCCTTAATTTTCTTTCTGTTATACGCCAAAAAGAAAGATGAGTACGGTAATACTTTTTACAGTATGTTATCACCGAGAATGTCTGTTAATTGATTTCTATTGTCATTCACGAATTCTGTTATTAATTCAACTTAATGTTAAAATTTGTTTACTATATTATTTCGTTTTATGTTTCATTTTCATAGTTCCTTGATTTGTTGGTTGTATAACTGTGCAATGTTCGTTTTTATTGGTCCGCGAAACCAATACTCATGGAACTAGTGCATATGGTACTCAAGCATATGGTGCTCATACATGTGGTACTCATAGATATGGTACTCATACATGTGGTACTCATAGATATGGTACTCATGCATATGGTGCCCATACATATGGTACTCATACATATGGTACTCATACATATGGTACTCATACATATGGTACTAATTCAAGCTCAGGGAGCCTAGGATTTTTTCCTACATATGAAGCTTCTCTACATATCATTTATGTGTTTATCCATTAATTTGAAGGCATCATTCCTTCCGATATTGAAAGTCTTTCCTTGGAAAACCACAGGTCTAAGGGACCACCGAACGTATTATTTTGTAATTATCAAATGAACGGGCCACTCAAAGTTAACGTATTCTTCACTACAATATTTTTTTTATAACTGTAAAAGTGTTAATGATATAATTTTATCTAATCGAACGTTCTCGAGCTTGTAATTTCATTCTCTATAGGTGGATTCTTGTTACTTGATATCCATATGCAGGTGTTAATTTCATTCACTAAATATAGACGACCGGCTTAATATTAACTCATGTTGCATACGTCAATAACATGAGCGGAGCACTAAAATATTAAATCACTCGGAGTAAACTCCGGAAAATAAATTAAATTGAAATTTTCTGGTATATCGAATACTAAATGGGATGAAGGACTACCTCAAGCCCATGTTCTTGGATCAATGGTCTCAGACAGGAATTCCTCAGAAGCATCTGATCCCAGACACATTGTCGCCAGGCCTCGCTCATGCGGGGCGGACCGAGGTGAATTGAAAGATCGATGTCCAAGTAAGGAAACGGAAGACAACTTACAAACACTGCTTTAAGCAATCATTGATTGCCATTATTAAACTAATTTTACGCATAACATAAATCTTATATTGATTACATTAGAGAAATAAAGTGTACTCCAGCACCACACTTGAATCTTGGATCCATTGAACATCAAGGTTCTATATCAGCATGTGTCCCGTGAAAGCTGACAAACGCTGGTCTTTCCCTGAAGGTGCTGTCTCCATCAAAGAAGTTCGATTCGAGTCGAATTAAAAAAAATCGGTTTGCTAGGTGTTATTCTTCTCGCCATGCTGGCTCGAGTCGTATAGCTCTTTCGGGACCGCAGAATTCTTTAGCTTTTATGGGCCGTCCCTCTGACTCACATGCTCGGTTGACAGGGAAGGTCTGCGACCGTGAGCTTTCGACCGCCTCAGACGCCTCGTCCCGGTAGACCGTAGTCCGCTTGAACTTCAAAGCCTGTCAGTGTGCGAAGTAACTGCGAGGAGTGAGGTGGTGCGTCTTGGTTCCGGCGCAACGCAAGTGAAAAATGTTTTGTGGGCACTTGGATGAGATCTAATTTAAAATTTAGTGATGTTTTTATTGCTGTTTACCATTGTTGCGGTTGCTTTAATAAGTGCAAATATTGGTCGAAAAATCTGTCAAGAGATATGAGTTTCTTTCAGTGATCAGTTGATGGAAGGTTCTTTCGGTTTCGCCCAGATTGACTGTGAGATAAGAAATCAAGATTTTATACTTCCTGGACCTAATCCATCGGATATATTAATTTAATCCTAATTTAAGTGGCCAGAAGTTTGTATCTCACCGTATTCTTGTGCATAGGTAGACTCAATTTAAGGGTAATTATTATTCTCAAGTCATCCATAAGGTTCCGTCGTTTATTTTTCTGACTTTCTACGAAGTTCCCAGCAACAAATTTGAGTACTCTGTGCCGGCATTAGTTTTGGAAGCTGCACTAATGTTGCGTAGGCTACTTGCGGTGCCTAGACTAGAACAGAGTCAGAGATGACGCTCAACCGTCGCCACTGACTCCTTCATGCCCTTTGTGAGCCGGAAGAAGAAATAATCGATCGATGTTGTCCTGTTTCTGACGAACGTATATTCTCCATTGAAATGCTTAGGTATTGCTGCCACCATCATAATTTATTGATTTGGTCTTGCGTCGTTCGCTACGTTGGCATAGGGTGAGAGAAATCTTTTTCCTGAAGATATTCTGTACATACTAACCTAGGCCTACCAATGACACGTAAGTCGCCACTCAGAATTACTAGGTACACTTATAGGGACACTATTTATCTGTTATCAGTTTTATTAATTTTCTAGAATATTTGATTTTTTCGCAAACCATCAGAGCTACTTAAAGATTGACATTTTGTTTCTTCGTAGATTCAGTTATCCGTAGGATCATAACAGCCTGATCCGCCAATGTTTGGGGTAAGACATTAAATAGCTCCTGTTATATTGATCTAATTTGTAATATTTGCTTATATAATGTACTTCATTTATTCATCTCGATTTGTATTATGCCATTAGTATTATAGCCGTTTGTTCATTCTACAGGTGCAACTTCCATACTTTACAAAATACACTTAAAACACTATCCTCGGCAAATTCGTATTATAATCCCCATTCTAAGTTCTTGAATTGTAGCGGTTTCGTAACTAACCAATCCGCTATACACTTAAACCACGGATCATCAATAAAAACCGTATAAAACTAGTCAGAACTACAATTTTTGGGGTTTGATCAACGCGTGATAACTAGGATTACCTACCTAGTTACAGTTGCGTTAGAAATTTGTGGCTCTCTCAGAATTACTACACTTAAACCACGGATCATCAATAAAAACCGTATAATACTAGTCAGAACTACAATTTTTGGGGTTTGATCAACGCGTGATAACTAGGATTACCTACCTAGTTACAGTTGCGTTAGAAATTTGTGGCTCGGTTTTATTCACAATATACGTAGATCGTTTCTTTTGAAGGCCAGCGACATAATAAGTGCTGTGGTGACGTTTGTGACATAACTGGCATTGCAATATATTTTTTTTATCCTTGTTCATGCTGGGCTGGAATCTCGTGTGCGTGCAGAGGCGTAACATTGTCGAGCGAGAGAGTTTTAAACTTTTTTTAACTACGAATTCTTGCGACCTGTTGATGGTTGATTTAAAACGCGTTAAGATTCCCAATGAGTCTTGATGGCTGCGTAAATGATTGAGTTCTTCCTAAAAAATGCATAGTTTTTATACGATGTTAAATACTTTTTTTACCATCTCTTCTGAGTTTCATTTGAGCGCCCCGCTTATTGAGTCTAGTCGAGATTTGACGAAACCGAAGACGTGATTTGTGGATCGATTTCGTCAAAAAATGTTGATCTCTTGCGCTAAGTAAGGGGAATGTTCTGTAAGTGTAATTTGCCCATCGATTCGTAAAGCCTATTATATATTTATACGTGGGTGGGCTGAATTGTGGTGTCTTTTCAAATAGATTGGGCTGTTGGGTCATGGCTTCGAGCCTGTCACCATCTCATTCATTATTATCATCAATATTTTTGAATAACAGACCGTTTTTAACCGACGTTGGATATTTCTATAGTAACCTGACTCATTCTTGAATCTTGCTTCTTGTGCAGGTTCTATTTCGGTGGAAATACTATTGAGTGGTTCTAGTGCTGTGACATTGAATGGACCGATCAATCTGTGGTGTAGAAGGAAAAGCATGTGGCACTAAAATATTTGTGAATGTGACTATCTTTAAGATCTTAGTCGTAGTAAATTAACTGTGATGGAAAATCAAGAAGAATATAACTCAATTTTATTTTAGGTATCTGGTGATCAATTGTTGAACTTGAGAAGTGCTGTTAATTCTAACGATTAAACAGGAAAAAGTTTGTGTTGTGAGCATGGCAGCAACGCGTGCTGCTCGCGGGAGAGCCAGTCTCTTGCTGGTCTACTGGGCGCTGCTGGTACCGCTCGCCTCCTCTTACACTTACGGTAAGGCAGACTAACCCTGGTTGAACGCTGCACGATTTAAATATCGACTTCACTATCCATTAATAAGGGTTTAAATAGCGACCTCACCACCATTTGCACGTTTTGATGGATAGGATGGTACACGGTTTTTGAAACTTTTTGTCTACCGAAGGTAACTCAAATTTGGGAGGGCCATGAAAAAGATACCATGTTGGTATCTTTTTGATACCAACATGGTAATTATTGTAGCCTTTAGATACAAACATAATTATTTTAGATACAAACAACGATTATTGCAGCGATTTATAATTTCCTTCAGTCAGTCTCTGCTTGGAAGAATTGAAATTTAACGTCCTACTTGCCATTAATATTTAATGACTTTGCATTACAACTTCTTACAATACTAGCAGATTTAGTCTAGGCTTCTCACAAAGCTGTGTTGAGAAGCGGGCTAACCTGTCAGGTTGAAAACAAGAAACATTTGAAACCTTTTGATACCTGATGAATGTATAGGTTACCAGGGACGGAACTTTGTAGTTGAAACCATTGCTTTAGTAAAAGTTTACTGCAAAATCATTAATTATGCGTGAAGTAATGTTAAATGTGAGAAAATAACCTTTTTTACATTTTCTATATGTCTTACTTCAATCTGAAATGTATTCATGTATCTATCGATGCCTTCTTTCTTTTTGAAGCTCATACAAGCCTTGTTGACGACTTGTTTCCAGATGAAAGTAAGTGAGATATTTAGTAAGTATATGCCAATAAATGCGAGCAACGAGTATTTCGATTCTCAAATGAACCGTTGCATGATCGCACAATATTGCTGTCTGCTATGTGAGGCCAGTGTTGTACTAGAGCAGTGTCGTACTGGATCAAGGTTTTTCAGTGTCGTACTAGAGTCAGGCTGTTCAGTGTCGTACTAGACCAAGTTTTTTCTGGGTCGTCCTAGAGCCAGGCGGTTCAGTGTCGCTCTAGAGCAAGACTGTTCAGTGTCGTCCTAAAGCCAGGTTGTTCAGTGCCGTACGGGATCAAGGTTTTTCAGTGCTGTACTAGAGCCAGGCTGTTCAGTATCGTACTGGAGCAAGGTTATTCAGTGTCGTCCTACTGCAAGGCTGTTCAGTGTCGTCCTAGGGCAAGGCTGTTCATGGGCTCGCACTGTGCTTGGATTCCTGTGCCGCAGCTGCTTGGAATCTGAAGCTTTTACCTGCGATCTCCTCCTCTCGCTGAACCGGTCCCATGATTCTTGTATACCGAGCCATGCTGAGAGAACTTGAGGTCAAAGGTGGCCTTCTGCCACACGTCTGCTGAGTTCTCCGACTCTTTGATAAACTTTTACGAACGGCCCTGAGACGTTGTGAAGAGAGTTAGCAAGCGCCCAGGTGATGTTAGGTTGCGGTCAACGAACTTCCTTTTAGATGACAAGCCATGTGTGTGCATAATTCTGCGTTGTGGTTCAAAGCAGTTCTGAAACTGAAAGTTATCATGCTCCCCATTTCGTAACGTATAAGCAAAATATGGTACGTGCTTTACCCTTGCATATGTATCATTAATATATTTGCGGGTATTGTACAAACTCTCTGTGAATAATATAGATAAAATATAGATAGTGCCAAAATTACTATTGATTACTTTTATTCGTCATTTGGAACATTCGTGTTAACAAGGTTCTGTCCAGATTATTATCCAACCAAGTATGGTTGATTGACAGTCTTCATATCAAAGACTTCGTTCGTTTCTTGAGTGCAGAAGCGGATTCCTTGTGCAGGTGCTGCTGCAACTGCAGCCAAAGCTAATGCTGGTTTCTGAGCTGCAAGTCATGTTTGGACTATCCGCATGTGTGACCGCCAAGGAATGCTTGGCTGGGACGCTGCTGAATTTTGCCCTAATGCTTTCAGCGTATTTGTTATTCGCATGTAACACCTGTGGAACTGAGTTGTATTATTTATTTAACGCATTGACTGTGCAAACCAAAGTTCATTAATAACTTCTGACAGATGCGCTTGGTTTTAAAAAGGAAAACGTATTTAGGAGAGAATGGGTTAGTTGCAAGCTCAAGTTTATCTTGAGCAGTGTACTCCTTATTGACTCACGACTAATCATCAAGTCTATAATCCAATCTTTGCTGAAATGAACTATCATTAACTTTAATGTCGATAAACTACGAAACTCAAACTTATGATAAATTTGAGTTGTTTGTAACAACTCAATGACTATGGGTTCTTTGTACGCAGTTGAAATGTTTCTTTTCAATCGACCATCCGAGGACTCACCTGCCTACCGTTTAGCACAAAAACAGCAATCTGAGTTTAGCAGAGTTTTCTTTCCATTGAACTGAACATTTTTTAACGAGACCAAAAAGGGTTCCGAAATTTGCATTGCGCTGAAAGTTTTGTTATCGACTTCGATCGCTGATACAATTAATAATAGCCTCACTTCTTACCTTGTTTTGATGGGTAAGTGCTGTGCATCCTGATAATTTGATGGGCGTTTCATTTTAAGGTCAAATAAATTTCATTGATTAGAAAGAGTATAATGAAGCATAAGAGTTTTGCGTTATTTTCAAGATTCTAATGCTGCAAATTTACAGCATCGGACGTAAAATTGCAGCATTGGACGTAAAATTGCAGCATTTTACAGCAGATGCTAATGCTGCAATTTTTAGCGAAATCAATATTGCGATGCTGGGAAACTCTCCCAATCTATTCAAGCATTAATTCCTACGTCTCTGCAATTTCTGTTTTCGTGATAATTTGATGGGCGTTTCATTTTAAGGTCAAATAAATTTCATTGATTAGAAAGAGTATAATGAAGCAAAGAGTTTTTGCGTTATTTTCAAGATTCTA